AAAAAAAAAAAAAGGAATATGTAGGGATTTTGACTTTTTCAGTTTCTTGTGAGCTGTGTTAGCATCTATATTCGTGATCATTTTTGGTACCCTAGTGACAAAGACTTTGGAGCTAGCCATGTTGAAGGACAGAACTTAGTCATGAATTCTTCCAGGTCAGTGTGTACTGGTGGAAAGCATTGCCTAGGCAGTACTCTTTTTTTTTTTTTTTTGACATACACACTTTCCATTATAATTTTTTTCCAATTTTAAGTAAATCTTTAGAACTACTTCTACCAATTGTTTCTATCTTCAGAACAGCAATTTTTTTACCTAGCAAGGAAAAGTACTGCCACCAAAAAAGAACTTTAGAGGGAGCGTAGTTTAGAAAAGTATATTTAGAAAAGTATATCAAATGTAGAAAGATTCAGCGTCAAGGAGAATCTTATTCTGAATTGTTACCTTGTACATCTGACTTTTTATCGCATCATCTTAATTTATTTTGAAGCTATAAGCTATTTGTTTTTCAACTCTCTTATCTGTTCGTATAATGATATCTTAATGGTATAAAGTTAGGCAGCTGAAGTAATTGACTAAAGTTTAATTAAACCCCTTTTGGTACTCCAGAGTTTGGAAGATAGCAAATAGTAATATAAAACATTTTGTGTGCATGTGTGACTTTTCATTAACAATAATGTCCTCATGCTTTTTAGGAGAAAAATGGAAGAAGCAGAGGTACTTTTCATGGAACAGAAAAAACCACTGTGCAGGTAACTGAAATTAACAGGAATTGTATATACATTTATTAAAAGTTAATATTTGTAAATATTTAGAATAGTACATGGCACGTAGTAAATAATTTACGTGTTTACTATTAATAAGTTTTTTTTAATGTACTCAAGCCCAAAACAAACGAGTCATACGGATAAAAACTGTGCAGCAAAACCCAAAACCTTTGCTCCTAAAACAAGTTTGAACTTCACTGGTAAATTCTGACATAGCCTTGTGTGACCTGTTATGGAGGCCCTGAGAAGCTTGAACTTTTTATTCTTTGAGCACCCATTCATGATTATCTTTGAAGTGTCAGATTGGTTTTAATTTTGAACCAAAACAAACTTTTTTGACATTCTTGAAGAGATATTTCCTTATAATTTGGAGAAATAGAGCATAGCTCAGCTTACAGGTAGCCCCAGAAATGGCTCTCAGAGAGTTAGCAAAGATAATGAGGGTACCAGTAAGGGCAGTCCCCCTGTTGTCTGATGATGACAGATAATAACTTGGAATAAGAAATTCCAAACTGTTCACCCTGCCTAAGTGCTAACTTCACGTGACATAACCGTTGGTGTCCCTGACTCCTACTGACATATTCAGCAGACATTAATAAGGGACATATTACATGTCAAGTCTTTTACTTGGTGATGGGATTTCGCCTCGCTCTGCCCCATCTCTCTGGATCTGCACCAGTTCCTGCCTCTCTTTTGCCTCTGTGCTCAGGGTCTCCTTCCCAGATCCAAGTTCTGGATCCCACTATCCCCTTCATCTTCGGCCTTACTGCCCCAGGTCTTCTCCTGCAACATAACACCATCCCTTTATTCAGGGTGGGAAAATGCCCAAAGTGGGGCCCACAGGGTAATCTGGTAGCTAGACCTTTCTCTGGATGGCATTCCTATTCCATCTTTCTTTCTCTGACTCCTGCTTCACAATTCACATAGTTTATTTTAAATACTACATTGGTTTATGTTCTGCCCTGTTTCCCCTCTGGATTTGGGGCTGTTACCTCTGATGGGTGCTTTTCTGTTCAGAGGTGTTGCAGCTGATGTTCTTATTGTGAGAGAGGAGAGACAGTGAGGGAGCAAGCGTCTCAGTGGCTTTCAGGCCTTTTTATTGGAACCCACGAGAGGAAATACGTGTTACCTTAGGGCCCAGTGTGCACACATACTCGTCTATACATGTGGGTATGTGGTTTCCTGAAATAATAACTTTATGTGAGTTGTGATAGAACTTTTTAATCTTCTGCATCCTGCCACTTTTTCTTTTTTCTCTTGTTTTTAATGTTCATCATAAACCTACAAAGTGGATCTCATAACCTGCTAGTCAGTCATCCTTTGATAAACTTACAGTATTCTAGCGCCATGGTAGGACGCCATGCTTTCTTGCTCTTCTTTCCATATTCTACAGTAATGTGCACAAGTCTCTCTCTCTCTTTTTTTTTAGTAAGAGTTTCCCTCTATTCCCCAGGCTAGTACCATGGCGTCATCATAGCTTACAGCAACCTCAAACTTCTGGCTTCAAGTGATCCTCTTGCCTTAGTCTCTCAAGTAACTGGGACTACAAGTGCCCACCACAACACCAGACTGATTTTTCTATGTTTAATAGAGGTAGGGTCTCACTTTGCAGGCTGGTCTTAAACTCCTGAGCTCAAGCAATCCACCCTCCTTGGCCTCACAGAACGACCGACCCACAAGTCTCCTTTATCAAACTTGCCTTAACTTAATTCTTCATGTGTCAAACTCTGTCCTTCATTTTGTGTAACTAAGCTTGTTTCTATTTTTTTACATACCATTTCCTCCTCAACTTTCTTTCTGTTTGAACCTTACATTCTCCTGACTAGTAGCCAGAAATCATTTTATTTATCATTTTGAATGATATAAATCCCTCTGTGTTGTTGGACCTTACATAACCCTACTTTTAAAATTAATTCTTGTATCTGTTCAGATCTTCATATTCAGTTTTTTAGAAACACAACTCCTCTGATGGTCTAATCCATAATTCATGCCCTTGCATGGTCCAAGGATCACTCAGTTATAACAATGGTGGGGTCTTCTATCCATGGTTATCAGCTCTATTGGTCCCATGGGCTGTAGAGACACATTTGCTGGCCCAGATGTAGTGTTGCATTGTTTCTCTGTTCTGAAATCTATCATGTTGTCGTTTTTAGGACTTTAAGCTTGCAGACTAGAATGCATCGAAGTCACTTACCTAATCTCAAGTATTTTTAGCATTTCCAGCTTAACATTTAGTGAACTGAAATATATTCATACCTTATAACCCAGTTCAAGGAGCTCAGGTTTAATGAGGAAAAGGGTTTCATGGTTAAAAACTGAGTTCTTACCTCCATGGTCATTTATTTTTAATGGGACTATACAATGGCAGTTTATTAAAGCACTCACAGGCCTGAATCCATTTGCAACTTTTGGAAATAGTGATTCAGTCTTCCAAGACATAGTATAAGAATTTAATGTTTAAATAATGTAGGTTTGCAGGTTGGTTTGTCATGAGAGGTATGTTTGAAGACTGAAGAAATCTGAAATCTATTGTTTCTTTACTTAGAAGCTATAGTCAGAATATCATAGTGACATCTGTGTTTGTCTTAGGAAAATTCTCACTGATCTCAAGCATAAGTTTATTTATGAAGGAATCACAGTTATGTTTATCTAAGATTACTCAATGCAGACACCAAATTATAAAGATTATAATGTGAAAATTGTTTTTTTTAAACAAAACTAAGCCAATATTCTCTGTCTTTGAAGTATATTTCTGAAGTTGATAGGCAATAAACAAGACAATGTATCTCAGTTTTCTGTTTTGGAAAGATCTCATTTGCATAGTCATAGAAATTTCCAAATGTTTTGTTACTGAAGCCAAGCCAAGGTTGTTGACTTGATTCTTTGAATATGTCCTAATTTCTATTATGATTAATGAAGCTTTCCTGTGTTATTATAAATATAGCAGATTCTTTGAAATTTTTGCCAAATATTAGTATTATTAATTGTAAAATTATATTTTATAATTGAAAGTATCATGAGAACATGGCCAAGTGTGGTGGCTTATGACTATACTCTTAGCACTTTGGGAGGCCCAGCCAGGAGGATCGTTGAGTCCAGGAGTTTGGTATAATATACATATATATAATGTGTGTGTGTGTGTGTGTGTGTGTGTGTGTGTTAGCATATTAGCCAGGTGTGTTGGTGCGTGTCTGTAGTCCTGGATACTTGGGAGGCTGAGGCAGGAGGATCACTTGAGCCCAGGCATTGGAGGCTGTAGTGAGCTAGGGTGATGCCACAGAATTATATCTGGGGCAATAGAAAGAGACCTTGTCT